ATTAGCGATCTAGTTAAACTGGATGCCACCTTCCACCAATTCGCCGAAGCAGGCTGATTAAAAACTCACAAGCAGCCTCTGTGTTTTGTCAAAACGATAATTATGCTTCCTTGTCTGCGAAACTTAATTGTTTGCTCGTATTGTGCACGACAAATTTTGTGCGTCTTATTGTTAACTACAACCTTACTGTTGGTCCGACATCATGGTTTATTTCACCACCATGTAAATTATATTCATATTTGTATACATATTGTATGCATCTTACACATTGTACGTCTATATAAAATTTATAACGTGTCTACAGTAATGATGAATATAACACGATTGCGAAATAAGTGTTCAAACACTTTGTATTTGAGTACTTTGCATGAGAGTAACTTCAGCAACTTCAGTAAATCGATGGTTTCTACAAAATTGACGCGAGATTAAGTTCACGTGAAAGAATATTTTGACGGATGGGAAAGTCTTGGATGGCACATTTTACTTTTGATATTCGACACTATTATCGTAGATAATGAGATATTTAAATTGCACGTATATTAAAATTATTAATATATTAATAATCTTTATTGTCATTCTTTTAGGTTTCGTACAAGTGCAGTACGTCTTCTCAGATTTTTCAGGGAACGAATTTAGATTTTCAAGAAACGACGAAACGAATCCTTTCCGAACAAGCGTGAATGATTAAAAAATCGTTTCGATGGGGTTTTCCAGATTAGTACGAATATTGCGAGTTTCTTTACTCGCGTGACAGGATGATCGATGCGCGAGAGGAGCGAGTTCGTGCACGGAACGAATTAGGGTTGCACGGACAGAATTTATGAATTTTTGCGTTCGTTTGTCGACGATCGAGTATATCCCTGGCCGCGTTGTATTATTTTTCTTTTTTTTTTTTTTCTTTTTTATTTTTCACCGTGGCAGCGTGTGCTGCTTTAATTCGTCGTCCCGAGGTCGGGAATTATAGCCGGGGTAAATTTACCGAACGTTCTACCGTCACGAGCTGGAAAATCGTCCCCTAAAGCGAGAGACGCGCAACGCCGACTTCATTTTCTGCTCGGGCCTCCGGTGAAAGTTTCCAACGCTTCGCGTGAAAAACAATTAAATTCCTATGGATGGTGGTAGCGTGTTGAAATTAACCGACATTAATGTCGCCTAATGAGACTTAATTATTGCGGAAATTTGTGAGATCTCCTCGTAGCGTGGTTACTCAACTCTTATCGCGTGAATTTTTCTGTCAATTGTTAAGCAATTATTACTTTTTTTTATTTATGCTGTATTGTAAGTATGAAACACTGTGTTGCAAACGACATGTTATCATTACTGATTATTATGATACATAGACAATCTTGTGTGTATAGCGTTTAATATATTACCACGATATTTTATTAAATCAAATAACGAAGTTCCTTGTTTCAAAAGATATTACACTACATGCACGATCGTGCAACACACTGTATTTCAATATTATTGAATATTGATCTGGCGCACTCATGCCCGATTTGAGAACGAAAATCAGGATATCTAGCGAGACAACGAGATCACAAATTACAAGATACAACAATGCGTCAACAAATTATCATTAATACGTACAGTTGTTCATAGAAGCTCACACAGCAGCTAATAGAAAATTTACAATTTGTCCACGTATTTTCTTACAAAAATAAACGATATCTCCAAAATACTTTAGCAATTCCATTTCGATGATCGAGCTCATAATCGTAATCGTGATCGAAAGATTAAAAGATTATGATGTTTTGGACCACAGAGAAAGCGAAGGAGATCCGTCGCGTGTTAATTTCGTCGGTTCATCGTTCGTTTGTTATTCGAATCGCAGGGACGGTCCGCAAATTCGTAGTGGACCATAACGGAACCAATGGACGGGGAACTGTGTTACAAATTTCCCTAGACAAGGGCGACCGCGAAAGCGAAAGTTCCAGTCGTGCACGTGGTTCTATCGTTAGTAACAGTCGAGTAGAGTTCGGTCAGTGGTTGTTTAAAATAGAGAGAGAAAGAGAAGAGAAGAGAGAGAGAGAGAGAGAGAGAAGTGGAGACAGAGAGATGTGCAATGACGCGACATGCTGCCTTTCCATGCACGACATACGATCGGTTTTCAATGGCAGGAACGTTTCTTTGAAAGCCATCGACTCGATCACGGAAATCACCGACTCCATCTATTCCACCGACAATTGCAATGATCGTTGATTGTTGTTCAACGAACCCTTTATCAGGGGGTTAATTAAGAGTCTGTCAACCCTTTCATCGAGCAACAAGCGTGCACAAAATGGGGTTGCATTAAATATCGTTGCGATCACGTGCGCGTTATGTCCCTTCGAGTTATAAATTGTTGTACGAGAAAGTAATTATCCGTGATATTTTTAATTGGATGGCGAGTTTGTAATTGATTGGTTGTAATTAGAAACTACCGGGGGATGGGAAGAATCCACATGAATTAACAAGTGGATCAATAAAATGTCTAGTAAATCACGGGAACCATCGGACGACGATTTGACAGATCGCAGAGCTTACTATGAAAATATATTCCGAAGCCAAAAAATTAAATCTGACGAATGGCAACGACTGTTTTAAGAGATTTAACAGATCACATTGCTGAATAATACTCAAACAATATTAAATAACAGACGAGATAATTACTAGACAATACAAGAGCTCGATAAAACACAGAAACTAAAATTATCAGAAAGATTACAGAAATATAACAAAGATCACACAGATAACGTGAATAGATCAGTAGATTATCCCTGACATTCTTTCAACGAGTAAAGTAATTCAACGAAGTGCAATACTTTAATCGAGCGGCAAAAGCGTTCCTCACGCTAATTTCTCCACTGCGGCTGATCCAATTACGATCCCGTTGCCACTAACGATTTCAATAAAGGCAATATTCGATGAATGGGACACCATTGACCATACAAGTAGCTCGATGCGATCAAATTCAATATATACTTGTCAATATGAACTTTGATATTTAAGTTTCATGGATTTTGAATATCATTCGAAAATAATTTAAAATGTATTAGTGTACTTTCTATATGTGAGTAATCCTGGTTTCCAAGATTTAATGAAATGAACCAAAAAATAATCGAAGGCAATAAGTTTTGAAGGGAAAACTTCAATCTTCAAGATTATGGATAGATCGAGTTATATAAAAAAAAAAAAATGTTTAGTGATTTTGGAGGCATTTGAATTTTTATGGATTTCAATAGAAGTATTCTTCTATCTGCTGCACGATGTGGAAAATTTAAAAATTTGAAAAAAATAAAGAATTCACGATTTAAAAAAAAAGTAGAGATTTTACGCTTTAAAGCGAAATTAAATGGATCGTTGTGCGATTTTGTTTAAATTGTCGATAATTTTTCACCAAGCGTGCGAATAATTTTGTTAACACAAGCTGGTTCACTCATAGATTTTGAGAGAGTACTCGTAAGTAGTTCGATGTTTGTAAAATTCAAAACTTTTACAAGTATCTTGGAAATCAGAGTTTCTTCTTTTCGTTGGAGGACCCAAGATGGAGCCAGTCTATTGGACGTGAAACTGTGACTCGTTTAAAGCAAAATTTGTTCGTGCATAGACACAGTGATCGATCAGAGGAATTACGAAAAAGAATGTTCTTGTACCTTTATACGTGATTTTTAAATAACATAGAAATACAGAAACATGCTTTTCAAGAATCTCTGTGAATATGAAAAATCGTCCCTTAATATTCAATGATTCTCTAACTCAACAAATGCATTGTCATTTGTTCTCCAATATCCTCAGGTTAAGTTGCATAGTTGAAATAAAACAAAAGATGAAAACAAAAAAACGTACAACAAAGTATCGTTATTATTATTTTTTTTTTGGAAAATATTGTTTTTAATTCCAGAAAAATAAAAGCAATATTCACGACTCTTTTTCGTGCAAAAGATGAAAAATAAACAGCCGGACCGCGGAACGAGAAACAGCACAGGTGTTGTCCCAACAGTTGAACTGGAACACGTGATCAAATTCGAAAGCTTTCTCCGTCGTGACGCGAAATTCCAAAAATGGATTATCGATCGTCGATATGTTTCGAGGAACGAGGTGAAATGGGTGGAAATATTTCTTGCATTAATTGTTCCGATGATTGTAATTGGGGAATCGCGGTTAGTCTGAAATCGATGAAAAGCATTCCTGAGGAGACGGGGGAGGAAAGAAGGGAGTATAATTTATCGGTAAAACGAACAAGAAGAAGGACGATGAGCAGTGAAATTGTTGGATGTTTTTTCAAGGCGTTGTAAATGTTTCTTCTTCTACGTAGATTATATTAATTTGCCCGATGGAATTAATCGAGGGATTTGAAAAAAAATGGACTGGTTTTTTCTAGAAATGAGTTCGTAGCATTTTTAAATGCAAATCTTGAATTTAAATGATTCGGGTGGAAAAAAATCGATCTACAACACAGGAGATAATAATTTTTTTAACGTAAAACGTATCGCACGATCGAGTGATATCAATGACGTGAATTCATTGTACGTTCGGAAAGATGTTGCACAGACAGTACGTCACGTTTAAATACACGGACTTGAGTGTTCTTCGAGATCGAAATCTGTCAGAGCCAAACGTGGAAGGGTGGAGTTCCGACATCGAGTCGACCAAATGTAAACTTGCTTCGTATATTTCCTGTCTCGACAAACTGCAGGCTGAAAGTATCGTACGACAGTTTATACGTGGAACTAGTTTTATCTGATCGACTTTGTTTAATTGACTCGGCAATTATCGCATGAGCATAAAAGGAACGGCTGGTGAGCAACATGAAATGTATCGAGGCAATCATCACGAGATGATTTTACACACTGGTTCTTGATCTTTGTCCATAAAAGATATACTCTCGTTTCTTGTCGTACAAGACATGCTCTTATATAACGTCCTGTTTACGAAAATAGTAAATTATGCTCAGTGGAAATAACATAAAATTGTCGTTCGCTGATTTTACTTTTTAATCGTCGCACGTCATTATTCAAATGGCAGAGAATTGTCGCGTCACTGCAATAAAAACTGAAATTATACTTTACATGCGTCAAGATGTTGCAATATCCCAGAGTATCTGCAGTTTTTCTATCGTCGTTTATGTTAAACATCCTAGAAACGAAGAAATCCGATAACTCGGTAATATATTGAAAATTTTTTAGTGACTTACCATTTGATTTATTGGCTTACGGCATCGTTCTAATTATGAGTAAGGTGGCCTGCAGGAAGATATAAACAAGGTAACATTAAATGTAACGTTTCCTCAAACATTGTGAAACTGCTTTGTTGCACAACCTCTTTAAACAAATTACAAGTAAATCAAATTAAGAAAGATTTCCAAATGGGAATACGAATCTAGAGAGGTAGAAGATAAATGTATAAAAGAATCACAGAACAGTAATAAAACAAACGATAAACAATGAAATATATATATATATATATATATATACATATATATACGTAATTCAAATTTGAATCGAAGAACAGGCGAATCTTGCGAAAGTGGAAAATCCATTCTCAAAATTCTTACGAAAGATCTCTTTCAGGTGCTGACGGTGACACTCTCCATAGGTGCGATGCTCTTAGGCGCCTCTATTTATTCTCTGACCGAGTTCCAACAGCGTAGAGCCTTCCTGGAGACCAGGCAGAGCCTGGAAGTGCAGCTGGTGATTGAGGAGCAAAGCGCGGAACAGGAAAGGCTGCTGCTCAGCGTGCTTCCGGAACACGTGGCTGTGAAGATGCGGCAGGACTTAGGCGCCTCGCTGGACACGCAATTCAAGAAGATTTACATGTCCAGGCACGAGAACGTCTCGATCCTCTACGCGGACATTGTCGGATTCACCGCGATTTCCTCCACGTACAGCGCCAGCGAACTAGTGAAGATTCTGAACGAGCTGTTCGCCAGATTCGATCAACTTAGCGAGCGGTAAGCAATCAATTCCGATCAGAGGGAAATCATTTAAGAGGATTGATTAGGAAGGACGACCGTAAAAATTTCTGTTCAATTTGGAAATATAACGAGGAACGTTTTTTTAATTTTTTCTTTTTTTTTTTTTTTTTTTTTCTAGAAAGCAGTGATTTGGGGGAAATCTGCGAAGTGAGAAACGAATTCATGTTGGTTCTTTTCGAATTTTTAAAAAGACTCTACACGATGAATTTCGGGAGAATAATATAATAATTAAATTTCCTTTCCTCTTTTCGCCTCGAGTGTACAACATTTTTCACAAAGAGCTAGATAAGCTAGTTAACTTCACGCTTAGGTAAAGTACAATGTTGAAAATTACAAATTAACTCTAGAAACTAATTCTTATCCTTGGCCCAAGACAGACATTTACTTTCTCCATCTGTCATTCGCGAAACGAGAACGACAAACTTATTATATTTCCAATTCTCGTTTCTCAAGTAGGCACTCGCTGGCTTGATTTCGGCAGCACAGACAGTGTTCTATCCTCTCCATTGGAAAGACACAAACACCAATTTTACGCGAGATAACAAGGAACTGGACGAACAATGCTTTGAAAGGGGCTACCGAGTCAATCCGAGATTTTCGCGAATGTGAGTCAAAGGAAAACGCGCGTTGCCTTTGTCAACCGTTTCGGAAACAACGGGATGGGGGGAGGGGCTGTCGATAAACGGTGAGAGGAACAAACGGATTAATCGACAACGAAGCTATCGACACCGCGGGAAAATTCGTTCGTTTACAATCCGCTCGACTGTGACCCGCTTTTGAAACGACGACGAGCTTTCACGAGCTCTGTCACCACCCCCTCTACCTACCCATTATTTTTCTTTCTCTCTCGTTCGTGCACGACGGATAATGAAAATCCTGAAATTGCCAGCCGCGAAATTGACTTTATCGGCGAAATTCCAGGCGAATCCTTTGCCCGCTTTTCCTCGGCTCGTCCTCGGATGAACAGAGACGAGGTCCTTCGCGAGGCGTCGCCGACGAATCGATACGTCCGGGGACAAAGTGGTATCGTTAGCGAATTCCCATCGCGCGATATTTCACTCTGTCCAATTGTCCATGCTCTGGCCGTGGCGAGGGAATTCCAGCGGAAATACAGCGACTCGCCAAGGTGTTTGAATCACGCGTTTAGCATAATTTGACGATAGTCGTGCACGTATTATTATTCGCAGCGTCGGCGTGAATTTTGACCTACCTCTTATCGTTGATGTATCTACGACTCGTGTATTCGAAAGAGAAAATTGAGACGTAGAGGTGGAAATAAATGTTCTCGAGTAACGAGATTCTTTTGATATCGAAGCTCATTTCTACACGCTGTGTATGTTGTGCAATACGCTACAAAGAAAGAATCAGAGAATCGCGGAATATGTGAAACACAGACGCTTGTTCTCTTTATAATACTCTTCGTACACTCTTGTTCGCGTGTTTTAAGAAAGATTATTAACTGGAGAGACGGTGAGAACTGGTTGGAATTTTTCTACACTCGGTTGCGGAAAATTATTCGCGAAATTCACAGGGAATAATCGTTTAACAATCGTATATTGACACGCTTTCTCACCAAGAAGATCCTTCGAATGAACTCGAATGAAAACGGAGCTTTGCACTAACGAAGTTCTGCGGAAAATTTGAATTTGAACTGTGACGCCTTGTGTCACAATGCTAATGAAATTTTCAAATGTTTTGTATAGGACGTCTAATGGATTCATGATATTCAAAGATTTCTATGAATATTCAGATACACTCGCAAGTCGTGCTTTACATCGTGCTTTTAAATTAATTTTCCTTGATTAATATAGAAATCCTTCGTGGGGAGAGGGGGGGGGGAAGAGGCGAGGCGATTTAATTCGTTAAAGAGGAATGAAAACGCGAGGATTACCGAAACGGCAGGTTTGATAAAACCGAGATCTAATCTGCGGGAAGAGGAACGTGGGAAAATGAAATCGGTTATCGTTGGATCTGTGTGTATAGAGGGCGGATGGTTTAACCCTGAGAGCGTCGGTAGTGGTGCAGGTCAATGTATAAATCCAGCGAAACACCCTCCTCCACTTAAGATGCTCCTTGACATGTACTTTCCTCTCCCATTTGCCAAATAGCGGCTTGGGACCAAGTGAAAAATTAAATCCTCCATCCTTGCGTTTTCTAAAACGAAACTCCCCGCCACTCAACCCCGTTTCCATACGAACGTTTCAATTACAAATTCTCCGGCTTGATCGATAGACACGATATGCACGTGTGTGCAGGGTTCACGTGTTCGCGATCTGGCCGCTCGTTTAACTTTCGAAAGTTTTCACGCTGGAAAAATTTCAGTTTCAAACTGCTTGCGTTTTTGACTCTAATTGTTAAAACTTTCACGCTGCATCCTATTCTTGCACCAACTTCTATCCTTAAACAACTAGAAGCTTCTACGAAGCGGAAGTTTTGAAATCGATACGAGGTTTAACTCTCTTGTTTGTCACTCGAATATTAGAAGCTCTTTTACGTTTGAAAGTTTTAGGGTGGGAGTAACCCTTTTGCTTTTGCACTTTGAAATTTACTGTTCTATCCTGTGAAGCTTAAACTCCACTGTATAAACATCACGCGATCCATTTCATCCATTTCATCCATTTCATCCAAATTCATCCCCGTTGATTTTGTCAGTTCTGACTTCTGACGCCACTTTGTGATTAAAACGAAGGTACACTTCGGTGCGAAATAATTGAAGAAATATTAAACTCTTTGTTCACAAAATCAAATAGTAAGATAATAATAATATTGGTCTTCGTCCCGAAATTGTTCTTTTAACTCTGTCTTCATATATTTTAGTTTACTGTAATTCTAAATAGTTCTATATATTTTCAATTGTATTAGAGTATTATATAAAGGCTTCAGAATTCAATCAGTGTAAACCATTCTCCATTAAAAATGATTTCTGTTGTCGAGACCTTTAGTCAGTGAAATAATTTAATTTGCATTATTGTAATATTGCAACGATTACATTATAGCGATTAAACACTTCCATCAGCTGATAATTTTGACAATAAAAATATGTTTGCACTTGTTAGGGAAAGATATCGGATTCCGAAAGTATCTCCGAAAGTCGAAATTCTTAAGGAAGATACACACTGACAATTTTCATATATTAAAATTCAGTGTTTCTACAAGAGAAAAGAAAAAAAAGAAGAATGTTATTCAGTTTTTCAAAATTTTCGAGAATTTTTTGGCTTCCTCGAATATCCCGAATATCTCTACATTCTCGGAAATCCCAACAATCTCGTATCACGGGTCCGATGCCAAAATAAATTCTCGCTTCGTCATTTCACATTAAAATTTATTTTAATGCGACCTCTGAACCCTCCGTACACACTTTACATTCTACCATTCTCACGCGCAGTGTGATTTCTTTTGAAAATTCTCGCCAGGTACGAACAACTGCGAATAAAGATCCTCGGTGACTGTTACTACTGTATAAGTGGAGCACCGGTGGAAAGACCAGACCACGCTGTCCTCTGCGTCTATATGGGCTTGTCGATGGTGGACGCCATCAAGTACGTGCAACAAACGACCAATAGTCCTGTCGACATGAGGGTGGGTATACACACCGGTGCTGTGTTGGCCGGTGTCCTCGGTCAGAGACAATGGCAGTTCGACGTCTACAGCAAGGACGTCGAGCTGGCGAACAAGATGGAGAGCAGTGGAATGGCGGGGTGAGTATCACTTCTTTACTTCCTTTTAACCTCAAGTAGACAGAGTTGAATTTGTTTTGATTTCTCAAACTATTTTAACCCTTTGTTACCACGGGAAACCCTTTTCCCAAAGGGAGCATCGAATAAAATGAAAAATAGGATAATATAATCACTCAAATGGTATTTGACACGAAATTTTGTTGATTATATCTTTCTAACTTTAACTGTGATATCGTTGTAAATTTGAAGCAATCATCGTTAATACATAGTTTTAATCTCTTCCACCATCTTATCTTTGAAACTTTCGAAGCAATGAGAATTCTAGTTTATGTGAATTATTCCAGTAAGTGTCAATCGACTCAAAGGATTGGTTATTATAGCCTTCACTCTAGAAGTCTGTTTAGATATTATACTATTACACGTCGCATCATACAACATCAAATATATACGTTCATAACGATGATCAGTAAATTATAAAACGAGCAAATCCGAACTGTTGGTTAGA